TAGTTACGTATTGCTCACACACCTGGGCCTTAAGGACGCCAGGTAGCCCCTCACACACCTGGGCCTTAAGGACGCCAGGTGAGTCTCTCACAATATTGACGCCATTTTGAAAACTAACTCTGTTCCCCCCCCACCTTCTCACTCTCACCCTCACTTCCCTCACCCCCACTCTCACCTCTCACTCTCACTTATCTTCACCTCTCACTTCTCTCCCCGCAGTGAGGGCGAGGAGGGGTATAACTCACCACAGCAGGCGTGCGGAAGGCATGGCGCACAGCCACCCTGGCAGGACTACGCCCACACGCCTGCAATGCTGTCGTACTGCAAGCCTTCAACTCTAAGCGCTGGACCTGCCTTCACCTCCCCTGCCCTGGGCACACCATACACGACAGTGAGTGTGTGTGTGTGTGTTCACCTTATACCCACATTCTAATATAACGAATCACTTCACTCACTTCTGCCGCCCATCACCACTCTCACACTCGCCTCCTCCTATAGCACTCTCACTCCACCTCTCACACACCCACCACCACACAGAACCGAGTGTCCTCCCGGTCACGTGACATGCGAGAGCGTGACGTCATCACAGGTAGTGACGTGGCCGCCTCCTCCTCCTCAATACAGGAACGGCGTCATCACCAATCACCGCCTGGCTTACCCCCACGCCTCTCCCACGGTGAGCGCCCCCTGCCATGGTGACTGCCTCGCCGCGCCCACTCCCACGGTGAGCAGTGTGTCCCTCAATAGCCACGGAGATACTTACAAATGTTGCAATAATCACCTTGTTCACCTATAGTGTGTCTCTAGTGTTATCACAAACTTATTATTACTCTTAAATGTTTTCAGCAACAATCACTGAAATCCAGCCTGTAGGTGTTCCTCTGTGTAAGGTCACAACTTATTATTACTCTTAAATGTTTTCAGTAATAATCACCGTTGTTCAGCCTGTAGTGTGTTCCTCAGGTTAGTCACAACTTATTATTACTCAAAATGTTTCAGTAATAATCACCGTTGTTTAGCTCATAGTGTGTTCCTCTGTGTTAGGTCACAACCTATTATTACCTTTTAAAATGTTTCAGTAATAATCACCGTTGTTCAAATAGTGTCTCTGTGTTCATTAGCTGTGTTCATCTGATAGATTTTGTTTTTGTGCAATATTTCTAAGTCTTTATCTGAATTACTTATACCCTGTTATTGTGCGTCACGTGTCAGAGTGTGGTGTCAGGTAGAATAATGCCATGTGTCACAGGAGGAGGGAGCGTGGTGTCAGAAGGTTGAGAGCCACAGTAGCTGGTCTGACACCTTGACCAACTACACACGGTGACTGTGGCGGCGTCAACCAGAGCTGGCACCACCCCCTTGTGTACTACTGACCAGACGGTGAGTTACTACTACTACCACTAGACGATGACCAATACTACTACTACTAACCCATACAAGTAATAGACAAGTGTTTGGTCAAGCAGAAAAAGTCGTAATATTTTTAACACATGAGAACATAATGTTATTGTTTTTGTTGAACGTTGTTAATTGATATAACACCTACCTCAGTAACACTCCTCCCTCAGTAACACCTCCCCAGTAACACCTCCTCCTCAGTAACAGTAACACCCTCACAGTGCCAGCGCCGCGAGGGTGAAGGCAACAGTGTCGGGTCCTCGGGCAGCCGTAGTGTCGTGGCGCTGCCCGCACGCCCACACGGGCGTATCAGCCGCTACACCGTCCACTGGGGAACCAGCAGGTGGGCGTGGCCCGCCCACAGCCGCCTGGAGCCTCACCTGACGCACCTGACCCTACATGACCTGTCTCACACCACACACCAGGCCAGTACTAACACCTGACCCTACATGACCTGTCTCACACACCACACACCAGGTCAGTACTAACACCTGACCCTACATGACCTGTCTCACACCACACACCAGGTCAGTACTAACACCTGACCCTACATGACCTGTCTCACACCACACACCAGGTCAGTACTAACACCTGATCTTACATGACCTGTCTCACCAATACACCAGGTCAGAATTAACACCTGACCCTACATGACCTGTCTCACACCAGGTCAGTACTAACACCTGACCCTACACAATATTATAGGTGTGTTTTACAGGTGTGGGTGAATAACAGGTGTGTCTTACAGGTGTGGGTGAATAACAGGTGTGTCTTACAGGTGTAGTGAGTATGGTGTGTCTTACAGGTGTGGGTGACGGCGTCCACCAGGATGGGTGAAGGTCCCGCGAGCAGCGTGTGCGTGGTCAAGCCCACACACACAGGTACGTCCATACGTACACATGTACACTATGTTTACATCTACACACGCACATGTTTGGTGATTATATTAATAAATCGTATAAAAGCTACACGCCCACTGTCAGTACCTGTGGGTGGTGGGTGGGCGTGAATATCACTATAACACACGCCCATAGTGGCCGCGGCGTGTGGTCGGTGGGCGTGAGTATCACTATAACACACGCCGGTGCACACGGGCGTGTGGTCGGTGGGCGTGGTAACGTGTCACTATAACACACGCCCACAGTGACCCCGGGCGGTGTGGTGGGTGGGCGGAGAACGTATCATTATAACACACGCCCACAGTGACCGCGGGCGTGTGGTGGGTGGGCGTGGTATCACTATAACACACGCCCATAGTGACCCGGGCGTGTGGTGGGTGAGCGTAGTAACAGTATCACTATAACACACGCCCACAGTGACCACCGGGCGTGTGGTGGGTGGGCGTGAGTAACAGTATCACTATAACACGCCCACAGTGACCGCGGGCGTGTGGTGGGTGAGCGTGAGTAACAGTATGCACTTACGCCCATAGTGACCGCAGGCGTGTGGTGGGTGAGCGTGAGTAACAGTATCACTATAACCGCCCACAGTGACCGCGGGCGTGTGGTGGGTGGGCGGAGTGACATTATCACTATAACACAACAGTGGCCGAGGGCGTGTGGTGGGTGGCGTGGTAACATATCACTATAACACGCCCACAGTGGCCGCCGGCGTGTGGTGGGTGGGCGGAGTAACATTATCACTAAACACACGCCCACAGTAGCCGCGGAGTGTAGTGGTGGGCGTGATAACATTATCATATAACACACGCCCACAGTGCCGAGGCGTGTGGTCGGTGGGCGTGAGTAACATTATCACTATAACACACGCCCACAGTGGCCGCGGGCGGTGGTCGGTGGGCGAGTAACAGTATCACTAAAACACCCACAGTGGCCGCGGGCGTGGTCGGTGGGCGGGAACGTGACGGCGGCTTGGAAGGAGGACGTGAGTCTAGCGTGTGGCGCCGTGGGTGTGCCGGAGCCTGACCTAACCTGGACCCACCAGAGGAAGCTGATCCCTGCCACCCATGACAGGTGAGTCTCACCCCACGACAGGTGAATCTCACCCATTACAGGTGAGTCTCACCCATGACAGGTGAATCTCACCCATTACAGGTGAGTCTGACCCATGACAGGTGAGTCTCATCCATGACAGCTCTGACTCACCCATGACAGCTGAGTCTCACCCAAGACAGGTGAATCTCACCCATGACAGGTGAGTCTCACCCATGACAGGTGAACCTCACCCATTACAGGTGAGTCTGACCCATGACAGGTAAGTGTAACCCACAACAGGTGAGTCTCAACCATGACAGCAGAGTCTTACCCATGACAGCTGAGTCTCACCCATGACAAGTGAGTCAAACCCATGACAGCTAAGTCTCACCCATGGCTGCTGAGTCTCACCCATGACAGCTGAGTCGAAACAGGTGTGACAGGTGTGGGTGATAAATTATTGTTATTATCACACCTGTTACAGATATACCAAGAGGTTTGTTGTGAGGCTGAACTGTGTTACTGTGATGATTAACAGGTCACAGGTGTACACAGGTGTTGTGGTACACAGGTGGTACAGTACACATGTTGTGGTACACAGGTGGTACAGTACACAGGTAGTACAGTACACAGGTGTTGTGGTACACAGGTGGTACAGTACACAGGTAGTACAGTACACAGGTGTTGTGGTCCACAGGTTCCGGGTACAGCCAGACGGGACTCTCACCTTGGCAGACATACAGAGAAGGACAGCGGGCCACTACTCCTGTACCGCCACCAACCACCACGGCAGTGACGCTGTCACCTACAACCTTACCGTGCTAGGTCAGTGTTACGTGTGTGTCTCAGTGTTACTGTGTGTGTGTCTCAGTGTTACGTGTGTGTCTCAGTGTTACGTGTGTGTGTCTCAGTGTTACGTGTGTGTGTTCCAGTGTTACGTGTGTCTAACTGAGAGTTATATAAACCTTATATGTTAAGATAATAATAATATAATAATAATACTAACAACAAACACATGACCACTACAGTGCTCCGTCAGCACCTTCCCTCCACGTGACGGAGACCACCGCCTCCTCCATCAGGGTCCAGTGGAGTGTGGAGGACACGGGCGGCGCCGACCTCCAGGAGCCACACTCCACTACAGGTGAGTGTTGCCTTCACTGTACTGTACTGTACTGTACTACATCAATGTACTGTACTGTACTGTACTGTACTGTACTGTGTTGTACTGTACTAGACTGTACTCTACTGTACTGTACTGTGTTGTACTGTACTAGACTGTTAACTGTACTGTACTGCACTGTACTGTGCTGCACTATAATTCTACTCTACTGTGGTGCAGAGGTGAGTAATACTGGTGCAGCAGCACAATAACTATGGTGTTGTCACCAGGTCAGCGGGAGGGGAGGGTGAGGGCGGAGGTGGACGGTGATCAGCGCTCACACGGTGACCAGCCTCAGGTGCGGCACCTTGCACCACTTCTACCTCACGGCTCACAACCACATAGGTGAGCACCACACCTGTAACACACCTGGCACAACAACGTAAACAAGACTTAACTCACCTTCCTAATATGTGTTAAGTACTGCACAGTATGTTGATTTATTGTTTACATGCTGTGCCCCGGCAGGCAGCAGCACGGCCTCCTCAACAGAAGCGGCCCGCACTAAGGGCCGGCCACCCGAGGCGCCGCCACAGTTCCAGTTCGTCACCAGCAACAGCTCGCAGGCGACGCTGTACCTGGCGCAGTGGGGACGGCGGCTGTACCATCACCCACTTTAGTGTACAGTACCGCAGGGACTCTCCAGGCACTGACCACAGGTAGGACCACAGGTGGGACCACTGGACCACAGGTGTGAACCACTGACCACAGGTGTGGACCATGGATTACAGGTGTGGACCACTGACCACACGTGTGACCACTGACCACACACGTGTGACCACTGTTAATTTTACCATTGTTAACATTGTATTATTAACTTTATAATGTTTTAACTTCGTTAGTATGTTATTGTATGATCACTATATGGTGTTATAGTGTACAGTGATCACTATATGGTGTTATAGTGTACAGTGATCACTATATGGTGTTATAGTGCAGTGATCACTATATGGTGTTATAGTGTACAGTGATCACTATATGGTGTTATAGTGTACAGTGATCGCTATATGGTGTATATAGTGTACAGTGATCACTACATGGTGTTATAGTGTACAGTGATCCCTATAGGTGTTATAGTGTACAGTAATCACTATAACTGGGCTAAGACATTCTCGCCTCTACAGTTGGCAGCGAGATCACCGCCCGCCCGCACCTTCGCTGTGGGCGGCTGGACGCAGGTGGCTGCTATGAGCTGTGGTGACTGCCCACAACCTGCAGGAGCCACACCCGCCCACTACACCGTGACCACACCTGGCCAGGGCCTCCCAGGTACACCCATGTTTTTGTGTCTTGACCTCACACTACAACCACGTGTTGTATCTTGACCTCACACTACAACCACGTGTTGTATCTTGACCACACCACAGTCTTAATGTTGTGTCTTGACCTCACACTACAACCACGTGTTGTGTCTTGACCACACACTACAGTCTTAATGTTGTGCCTGACCTCACCCCACCCCTTCACTAACCACCCCCTGGCCCCAGGAGGCGCGGGTAAGGGCGTGGGCGGAGGCGTGTGGGGGAGCGCGCCTCCACCTCAGGGGCGGGCAGGACCCGCGAGTGTTGGTCCCGGTCGCTGTTCCGCCATGGCGCTGCTGCTGATCAGACCACTGTGTGTGTCTGTGTGAGGAAAAGGAGTTGTTGTCCCCACTGTGTGTGTGTGTGTGTGTGTCATTGTGTGTGTGTGTGTGTGTGTGAGCAGGAGTTGTTGTCCTCACTGTGTGTGTGTGTGTCTGTGTGTGTGTGTGTGAGGAAAAGGAGTTGTTGTCTCACTGTGTGTGTGTGTGTGTGTGAGGAAAAGTGAGTTGTTGTCCTCACTGTGTGTGTGTGTGTCTGTGTGTGTGTGTGTGAGGAAAAGTGAGTTGTTGTCCTCACTGTGTGTGTGTGTGTGTGTGTCTGTGTGTGTGTGTGTGAGGAAAAGTTAGTTGTTGCCCCTACTGTGTGTGTGTGTGTCTGTGTGAGGAAAGTGAGTTGTTGTCCCCACTGTGTGTGTGTGTGTGTGTGTCGTGTGTGTGTGTGAGGAAAAGTGAGTTGTTGTCCTCACGTGTGTGTGTGTGTGTGTGTGTGTGTGTGTCTGTGTGAGTTAGTTGTCCTCACCGTCTTTGTAAGTCACTTAACAACACTTATATTTCTTCTCATAAGTCACTGACACTTCCTACTGTCATGAGTCATTAACTTTATTGACTCAGTGAGTCATCTGTCACGGTGAGGTGACAGGTGAGGTGACAGGTGTGTGACAGGTGAGTAACATACCCCCTCCCCACAGGACCTCCAGCAGACCCTCACAGAAGGAGGTGGCGGACACGAGGAGGAGGAGAAGACGACCCTACAGGCGCGGGAGGACGTGACACCACCGTCAGAGGCCCGCGCCCACGCCCCCACCAACACGACACAACACTGGTACTGTGACGTCACTCTTAACACAACAGCTGTAAACCACCGTGTCCTTAGCTTGTAAACCAGTAAATGTAAACACATGTTTACAACTTACCAATACATCTGTAAACAACTTTAGTTCACACCTCCAAATACCTATAAACACCTGTCCAGCCCTCAACATGTGTAACCTCAGACAGATGTTGGTCCCTTGGTCCAGCCGTCAGACAGATGTTGGTCCCTTGGTCCAGCTGTCAGACAGATGTTGGTCCCTTGGTCCAGCATTAACACTTGTCTGCGACACAGCTGTCGCTGCCTGGCGGTGTTGTTGTGGTAGTCAAGCTCATATGGTGGTCACTATAAGTTTTAACTCAGAGGTTCTCCTCGACCTACAGGAGACTACAGCGAGGAGGACCTTACCCCTACGCCACGGCCACCTTCCAGATGGGCGGAGGCAGCCGCCGCCCCCCTGCTCCGCCCCTCCCGCCCACACACGCCCACCACCACAACCACGTGGGCAGAAGGCCTTCACCGCCTCGTTCATCAGGCGCGTCACTACACGATGTTGACTCCAATCTGGTAAGATGCCGGTACCTGTACCACCACCAGGCAGTACCAGGTGCTGTACCACTACCAGGAAACAGTACCAGGTGCTGTACCACTACCACGTCTCTGTACCAGGTGCTGTACCACTACCAGGTACAGTACCAGGTGCTGTACCACTACCAGGCACACTAACAGGTGTACATCACCAGGTACAGTACCAGGTGCTGTACCACTACCAGGTACAGTACCAGGTGCTGTACCACTACCAGGTACAGTACCAGGTGCTGTACCACTACCAGGTACTCTGTACAGGTGCTGTACCACTACCAGGTACTGTACCAGGTGCTGTACCACTACCAGGTACGGTGTACCAGGTGCTGCGTACCACCAGGTACACACTAACAGGTGTGTACCACCACCAGGTACTGTACCAGGTGCTGTACCACTACCAGGTGCACTGTACCAGGTGCTGTACCACTACCAGGCACAGTACCAGGTGCTGTACCACTACCAGGCACACTAACAGGTGTGTACCATCACCAGGCAATGTACGGTGCTGTACCACTACCACGCTGTACCAGGTGCTGTACCACCACCAGGTACACCACTGCCTGCACAATTACCAGGCCAGTACCAGGTGCTGCACACATACAGGTACAACCAGGTGTGACCACTACCAGGTACAGTACCAGGTGCTGTACCACTACCAGGTACAGCAACAGGTGCTGTACCACTACCAGGTACAGCACCAGGTGCTGTACCACTACCACGTTCTGTACCAGGTGCTGTACCACTACCAGGTACAGTACCAGGTGTTGCACACTACCAGGTACAGTACCAGGTGCTGTACACCACAGGCACAGTACCAGGTGCTGTACCACTACCAGGTACAGTACCAGGTGCTGCAACTACCACGTTCTGTACCAGGTGCTGTACCACTACCAGGTACAGTATCAAGCTGTACCACTACCAGGTACAGTACCAGGTGCTGTACCACTACCAGGTACAGTACCAGGTGCTGTACCACTACCACGTTCTGGTACCAGGTGCTGTACCACTACCAGGTACAGTACCAGGTGCTGTACCACTACCAGGTGCGTACCAGGTGCTGTGCCACTACCAGGTACAGTACCAGGTGCTGTACCACTACCAGGTACAGTACCAGGTGCTGTACCACTACCAGGCACACTCAACAGTGCTGTACCACCACCAGGCACAGCACCAGGTGCTGGCTACGTGGTACAATACGGTCACACTACCAGGTACAGTACCAGGTGCTGCACCACCACCACGTTCTGTACCGGTGCTGACCACTACCAGGCCAGGTACCAGGTGCTGCACCACTACCAGGTACAGTACCAGGTGCTGTACCACTACCAGGTACAGCACCAGGTGGTGCCGTACCACTACCACGTTCTGACTACCAGGTGTTGCACCACTACCAGGTCAGTACCAGGTGCTGCTCAACTACCCAGGCACAGTACCAGGTGCTGTAACCACTACCAGGCACAGCACCAGGTGCTGTAATCCACTACCAGGTACAGCACCAGGTGCAGTACCACTACCAAGTACAGTACCAGGTGCTGTACCACCACTCACGTTCTGCGGTACCAGGTGCTGTACACTACAACTACCGGTACAGTACCAGGTGCTGCACACTACCAGGTACAGTACCAGGTGTTCTGTACCACCGCCAGGCATACAGTACCAGGTGCTGTACCACTACCACGTTCTGTGCCAGGTGCTGTACCACTGCCAGGTACAGTACCAGGTGCCGTACCACTACCAGGATGCAGTACCGGGTGCTGTACCACTACCGGGTACGGCACCAGGCGCTGCACCACTACCAGGCAGTACCAGGTGCTGCACACCACTACCCGGTACAGCACCAGGCGTTGCACCACCACCAGGTACAGTACCAGGTGCTGCATTCACCACGCACACGTACCAAGCGTCAATACCACGTTCAACCAGGCGTACGACTACCGGGTACAGTACCAGGTGCTGTACCACTACCACAGGTACAGACCAGGTGCAAATCAATTACCAGGTACAGTACCAGGTGCTGTACCACTACCAGGTACACCACCAGGTGCTGTACCACAACCATTGTACCAGGTGCTGTACCACTACCAGGTACAGTACCAGGTTGCACCACTACCAGGTACACTAACAGGTGCTGTACCACTACCAGGTACAGTACCAGGTGCTGTACCACTACCACGTTCTGTACCAGGTGCTGTACCACTACCAGGTACACTAACAGGTGCTGACAACTACCAGGTACAGCACCGAGGCAGCGCCACCAACAGGTACAGTACCAGGTGCCGTACCACTACCAGGTCACAGTACCAGGTGCTGTACCACTACGGTACAGTACCAGGTGCGCTCACACCACCAGGTACAGCACCAGGTGCTGCATACAACTACCAGGTACAGTGCACCGGTGCTCGTACCACTGATTACTGCTCTGTACCAGGTGCTGTACCACTACCAGGTACAATAACAGGTGCATTACCAGGACGCACCAGGTGCACACCAGGTACATGGCACCAGGTGCTGTACCACTACCAGGTACAGTACCAGGTGCTGTATCACTACGGAAACAGTACCAGGTGTTGCCACTACCAGGTACAGTACCAGGTGCTGCACTAAGTACCAGGTACTAGCAATTACAATGCCCGTACCAGGTGCTGTACCACCAACACCGGCGTACAGTACCAGGTGTTGCACCACTACCAGGTACAGTACCGGGTGCTGTACCACTACCCGAGTATGAACATTAGTGCCGTGTGCTCACTACCAGGTACTGTACCAGGTGCTGTACCACTACCAGGTACTGTACCAGGTGCTGTGCCACTACCAGGTACTGTACCAGGTGCTGTACCACTACCAGGTACTGTACCAGGTGCTGTACCACTACCAGGTACAGTACCAGGTGCTGTACCACTACCAGGTACTGTACCAGGTGCTGTACCACTACCAGGTACAGTACCAGGTGCTGTACCACTACCAGGTACTGTACCAGGTGCTGTACCACTACCAGGTACTGTACCAGGTGCTGTACCACTACCAGGTACAGTACCAGGTGCTGTACCACTACCAGGTACAGTACCAGGTGCTGTACCACTACCAGGTACTGTACCAGGTGCTGTACCACTACCAGGTACAGTACCAGGTGCTGTGCCACTACCAGGTACTGTACCAGGTGCTGTGCCACTACCAGGTACTGTACCAGGTGCTGTACCACTACCAGGTACAGTACCAGGTGCTGTACCACTACCAGGTACTGTACCAGGTGCTGTACCACTACCAGGTACTGTACCAGGTGCTGTACCACTACCAGGTATTGTACCAGGTGCTGTGCCACTACCAGGTACACTAACAGGTGTGTACCACTACCAGGTACACTACCAGGTGGCTGACAGTGTTGATGTTTACACCATCAGCTGACAGTGTTGTTGTTTACACCGTCAGCTGACAGTGTTGTTGTTTACACCGTCAGCTGACAGTGTTGTTGTTTACACCGTCAGCTGACAGTGTTGTTGTTTACACCATCAGCTGACAGTGTTGTTGTTTACACCGTCAGCTGACAGTGTTCTTGTTTACACCATCAGCTGACAGTGTTGTTGTTTACATCGAAGTTATTGTTTACAGAGTGAGGTAGACAGCCGGGGGTCAGGTCGAGGGGGGGTGAGCTACGAGGGGGAGCACTACAGTGGGGTGTTGACCCCCCAGGCTGACCCCCGCCCCCCTCCCCACCACCGCCGCCCCCTCAGACACCTCCGGACCAGTAGGTTTGTCACACTCTCTCACCTGTCACCCCCACCTGTCATAACACCTGTCACCACACCTGTCACCCCACCTGTCACCCCACCTCTCACCCCACCTGTCACCACACCTGTCACCCCACCTGTCATCCCACCTGTCACCACACTCAATATACTACCACGTGTATCATATATCACCCTTTACCATATACTATATACTCTTAATTATATACCAATAGTACAGTAAATCCTCTCAATAACGGACTTCTCAATAACGGAATCCTCCCAATAACTGACATTACTTGCAATAATTAGTCCGGTATTGGGAGAGTTTACTGTCCTCGTAGCGTGATTTGATGTATTAATGTCAAGAGGTTCAAAACTTGTACTTTATTGTCATGTCATGTAGTTGAGGCTGTCATGTCATGTAGTTGTAGAGTCTGTCATGTCATGTCAAGGGATTCTCTCAAGTTGTCATGTCATGCCTCTGTTGATGATAAGGGAGGGTCGTTTTCTGTACTAAATTCAGACAGGCAGACAGACAGACATACAGACAGACAGACAGACAGATAGAGTAAGAGACAGTCAAAGAAAGACAGAGAGATAAAGAGACAGGCAGAGAGACAAACACACAGATAGAGACAGACAAAGACAAACAGAAAAAGAGACAGATAGTTTGAGACAGACAAAGAGGGATACAGACGGAGAGAGAAAGTGAGACAGACAGAAATAGATCGAGAGACAGAGTGACAGACAAACAGACAGAGAAAGAGAGAAAATCAGACAGACAGACACATACAGAGAGAGACAGAGTGACAGACAAACAGACAGAGAATCATACAGACAGACACATACAGAGAGAGACAGAGTGACAGACAGACTCATAATCAATGTATGTATATAATTCCCACACAATGTTAACTCTTCATCTGACAGAACCCCCCGTAACGTCCACTTCCCCTAAGATACCAAGACCACAACCACAACACCACCTACAGCGCCTACCACAACAACTACAGTACCAATACCAACAACAACAGTATCAGTACCCACAGAAACAACCACAACAACCACAACAACCACAACAAAAGCTTTACCAACAACAACAACAACAGCAACAACAGGAACATTATCAGTACCCACAACAGCAACAGCACTACCAACAGCCTCAACAACAACAGCAAAAAGCACAGCAAAAACAGCAAACTATTCGCCCTACGCCATACACCAGGTAAGTCAAATTCTAATAAGGTATAGTCATTAACCTGGTCATTCAAGGTGTACTAAAGGTGGTTTAATTATTCTCTATGTTAATATGAACTGAAAATTACATATCCCTCATATAAAAAACCTTATATCAGTAAAGTCAAAGTTTGAGTTTTGAATTGAATGAATTGTACCTAAAAATTGATGTAAAATTCGTATGGTATTTTTTTTTTAATTTTGCGTATTAGTAATTATGTCTTTTCTATGTTTACTGTCAGGTAGATTATTTATTTTTTATTTGTGATATTTATAATTAGACAGGTGTGAGGTGTGACAGGTTTGACGGTGACAGTGACGGAAGCAGTGTGACGGTGGCAATGTGACGGTAATGACGGAAGCAGTGTGACGGTGGCAATGTGACGGTAATGACGGAAGCAGTCTACAAAAATCAAGAAAAAAAAATGCATAAAAAATGAAGAAAATGAAACAGAGAGAAAGTGGACTAACTCTGACACGAGTAAACACACGAGTGAAAGTCCCGTTGCATTATTGCCATCTGGAGAGAAAGTTTTTTGTGTGTTGAGAGAAAGTGATATGTGGGAGACGAAAATCAAAAGAAAATTAAAAAAGCAAGTTTGTGAGTGACGAAGATGGATAGAAAATGAAAAAGAGAGTTACATAAGAGACGAAAATGAAGAGAAAGTCAAGAAGAAAGTGAGATGGAAAAACGAAATAAATAGAAAGTGTAGTTTAAGAAAGTGACTAATTTTCTTGATCCAGGAAGAAAGTTTAAACTAAAGAAAGGGAGAGAAAGGTAATTAACCCTTTCTCTTCCCACGGAATCTTGATCTCAATAATAATATTTTTAGAACTTAACCGAGAGGAAACTTTAAAAGTAAAGTTTTAAAACAAAAGAAAATATTAAACGTAGTGTATCTTAAGGGAAATGATTTACAAGAACCTCAGTTAAAAGATAAAACAGTTTAAATGATACTTTTCCTGAGTTTTAGTTGTAATGTGTGTCTGCTGATATTATTGGAACATTGGGGAAATACTAATAATCATACAACAACAATAACCTCTTGAAAACTGCCACAATACAATTTACTGTACAGATGGTTATAAACTTCTTAACCTGAAATTAAGGATAAAAATTGTGATGTTTTAATGAAGTTTATTTTTGAGATGAATGTGTATATATAAATGTCTGGAGATATATGACCAAAACTTGATGTACTGTATATAGGTAAATGGTTCCACTAGATTCACTAAGACTCGTATGATAAATTTTACTCGTAACTTAAGATAAACACGAAAACTGGTTAAAATGTCATCAAACTTGCTCGGAGACTTTAACCTTAACTAGATATGTGTTAAGAGAACGCATCTAGTTGGGAAAAACCTCAGGCGCAAGTCTGATATAACTTTAACGATATTCTTTTGTTTTTAACTAATAAACCAATTAAAAACATTTAAACCTTCAGTTACGAAAAAAAAATTATACGTTTCTGAAAATACTGACATTTTTGTAATTATAAATATACAAAAGGTTTCTATGTACGTTTAGTGATGGAGATCTGTGATGGCTGACTTCTGTGATGGCTGACTTAACGAGTTGATGCTCATTTGTTTATTGAATCCTCCTGTCATTGTTCCCTACAGAGTTGATGTTCCTTTGTTTATTGAATCTTCCTGTCCTTATTGTCCCCTACAGAGTTGATGTTCCTTTGTTTATTGAATCCTCCTGTCATTGTTCCTACAGAGTTGATGTTCCTTTGTTTATTGAATCTTCCAGTTCTTATTGTCCCTACAGAGTTGATGTCTTTGTTTATTGAATCTTCCTGTCATTGTCCCCCAGAGTTGATGTTCCTTTGTTTATTGAATCTTCCAGTTCTTATTGTCTCCATGGTGTTTATACTGTATGTATAGGGAATAAGCCAAGTGGGTGAATATACATTATCCATAAACATGTATTAATAAACGAATAATAATTCTACGTATACATAACTGTTTCTCAAGACAATAAGTATGATATTTTCTCAATGTGTATACAAACAATTAACAAGTAATATGTATACATGCTTGTGTATTAAAACTCAACAATTATATACTGTATACATACCTGTGTATTAAGAAAATTCATAATCATTTAATGTGTACATGCATGTGTATTAAAAGGATATATATTTATGACATTGATACATAATTGTGTATCAAGATAGAGAAATACACAATCTATGGATATGTATGATTAAAGAAAATGAATAAGTTATGTAATACCATGTAATTCATAGCACTGAAATCTCCGCTGTAGAGGAGTTAACATTCAAACAAATCCACTGTATATTTTAACTGTAACCTGTTGTTGTGGACTGTAGGCTACAGTTGACATACAATACTCTTGTATTTCTGTATTTCATCATCTACAATACATAATCAATAAAATCCAGGTGTATATAGCGGTGTATAAACAGGATAACTACACTATACATATACATTACAACAGTGAATGATAATTTATACATATACATTATATTCAAATATGTGTATTAAAACAGTATTAATAAAATATCTAATACTAATTGTTTAAGAAAATACAAAGTTGTGTATTAAATTGAATAATGATAATAGTAATTTTATTTATTGTAGAGTATGTTATTTTTCCTTCGAGGTGTTATGTTATGATGTCATGTTATCATCCTTGTCTCCTTCAAACCATAACAGCAAGTGTAATCAACCTTATTAAACTGTAATTATTCATGTTATCATTGTAATTCATTAGTTATCATGCTTGGGATAACATGTAAGTGAAGGTGTTATCATTAGCACTTAATTATCACACCTGAGATAACCTGTATTCATATTATTACACAGATAATATTACAGTGATAACAATTATTTGGGCTATGTTATCCTCATAGTTATCAATCATTAAATTGACCTTTTCATCATCATTATCATCGTCATTATCATCATCATCATCAAATTTGTGTATAGGCATTATTTAAGCACATTTCTTAACTATTTGTCTATGTAAGTATGTAAACAAACTTCAAACTCTCGTTGTTATAAATTTTACTCTACAGAAAACATACATATATACATACATACATATACATACATACATACATACATACATACATACATACATACATACATACAGGGGCCAATCACCAAAGCTTATACCTGGAGCGTCACTATATTGTACCATCATATCAAGTATACCCATATACTAACCTGTGTATGTTTAACCTTACAGTGTATACTATACTTGACAGTGTCTCGTCCCGTGTATACTGTAACTGTATATATTTTAATGTATACAAGCTGGGTGTTTTTATTATGGGTTATACCGTTGTTTTCTTATTGCGGTATATGAGGTGAATAAACTTACCTTTTCTTATATGGTTTTATTTATACCTCAATTGTGTAAACTAAAATAACTATATAATCGTTTAGTGTTATATTATAAGGCTTTTAATCGCCATATATTCTCTATATATTGTAAATTGGAGGAATAATATTGATATGAAGAATGGCTTATTGGTAAATACCGAACTGCCTTATTTTGACGAACAGCGTTGCCATTTCCTGGACTGTCGTCGGCTAGTGTGGAAAAACCCTTCCACACTTGTGCTGTGTGAATGACAATAACCCTTAATAATTGTGTCCCAAATATACTGAAGGTGTATTTATATATTGGCCTAATTATAGTAAGAATATAGCTATTGTCATTTTGCCAACATTTGCAAAAATTAACTGGTTTTCCAAGTTCATTTCTCTGTGAAACCATGATGCAATTATATAGAATTTACTAAACCATGATGCAATTATATAAATTTACTAAACCATGATGCAATTATATAAGAATTTACTAAACCATGATGCAATTATATAAGAATTTACTAAACCATGATGCAATTATATAAGAATTTACTAAACCATGATGCAATTATATAAATTTACTAAACCATGATGCAATTATATAAGAATTTACTAAACCATGATGCAATTATATAAATTTACTAAACCATGATGCAATTATATAAGGTACTAAACCAGATGCAATTATATAAGAATTTACTAAACCATGATGCAATTATATAAGAATTTACTAAACCATGATGCAATTATATAAGAATTTACTAAACCATGATGCAATTATATAAGAATTTACTAAACCATGATGCAATTATATAAAATTTACTAAACCATGATGCAATTATATAAGAATTTACTAAGGCAGTTTTGTCGCCCGGGTTAGGGTGCAGAAGGCAGACATTACGACCATTGAGTGGTGGCACATTCGTGACGTCACTCGTCCAGGGTCAGTGCTGTTTGGACGTGGCGGTGAGCAGTCGTGTCCAGTTGCGTTCCGTGGGATGTATAATCAAAGACAAAAGTCGTGTCGCTGATTTTGTCCTAAGATTAAATATAACTCTTGAAGCATCATGCGAGCTCCCTACCACAAGGCAGAGTGCAAAAGTTGACCCTTCGGTATATTTTGTTTTCACCAAATTTCAGGACGACTTTTGTCTCTCATTGTACGCGTCTCCTTTTCTTTCTGACTAATACATAATAAACCATATATTACTTAATATTCGAATATTAATAGTGAATCAAAGTGATAAATCCGACAAAGTTAATAGAAAATAATGTTTGAAAAAAAAAAAAAATATTGGAACGTCTTGAAACTGACGTCATCACTTAGCAGCTCAAGACACGAGGCATTTAATCTCGTAAGTACAACAATTACTTATTTCTTACATTTATTTACGATTTTAGATTGAAAATTATTAACTATTCTCAAACTGTGTGTTGATAGTTTATAATGGTGATTAGGTGGTTACTAAATAGGCGTTTGTACTTACAGTAGCTAAAACTTTGTAGGGAATATACGAGATATGCATGATATATACTGGCATATGAGTTATCACTAGTAACACGTAACATATCGGAGCATATCGACCCTACCAAAGATTAATAAACGAATATTTTGTTTAAACATTCGTGTTATTTAAAAGGATTTGTTTTAGTTAACCAAACGTACTGTATGTGTATTCGGTTCGGGTGTTTATTACGAAGGTTATTGGAAGATTCGAGTTAATAGCCGGAGTTTGAACCACTCTCTTCCATTGATGCCGTTCGGAGTAAATAAAATAATCACCGTACTACAGAGCTTGACGGGGAGGTGTAGCGATAATATTAACTAATTCTGATATTACTTAGTTTTATCATACACACAACACAATACAATAATATTTTCATTTATTTAGACGTTTGAATATACTCTACTAATTTGTGACATGTAAAAATACGTACAGGACTTATTATTGCTATTACAAGTTTGTTATTGAATTACTAGGGAAGGTTGCAGTTTAAAATACTTGGGGTTTTCATGGTATTTATGTGTTAGAATTACTGATTAAATCTTGCTTTATATTAGTTTTAATTAGTTGAACAATGATAAAACACAGGATGAGGTTGAATGCCATCTGGTGACCGGTAATATTTAATTAAGTTCACCTGTATTTAAATTCTTCTTTAATTAACCTGTGTTGTATTGGGGACTGACTTGACCTGACCTCAAAGCCTCTTAACACACCAGTACATGTGTGTCCGGAGTCTATTAGCATCAAGGAACACACACACGGGATACACACTCACATCCACAGAGTTACGTACACACACAGGTTTAGGAGGTTTCTATGGGAGGAATTC